GTAACTCTTAAAAAGATTCAAATAGTTAAAAAAATTTGCAGGTTAAGAAATTAAAAACCTTCATCAATCATATTAAAACTCTTAAAATACATTTACAAACATGAAAAAATTTTATTTGAAGATCATGTATGACAAGCCCTGCTTACTTTAAGGTAATCAAATTTTCTATTTTACTTATTAATTGTAGTCGTAGTTTACATATGTATTTGTTTACATATTAAAAATGAATTTTAATTAATTAAGGATAAAATTAAATGATATATAATAAGTAAGCAAGTAGTTATTGCGGAGGTATTGAATTGCGAAGTTGCAATGCAATAGACAATATTCCTCATGAAATTCGATAAGTCCGGTCAGTTATATTTCGGCATATGAAATCTTTTATATAAGCACAATAATAATGTCATATTGTCTCTTTTATACCTAAATTTAAAAGAAATATGTGAGATTTTAGAGAGTTTTCTACTGAACAAGAAGAGGGAAGGGTGTTTTAGATGACATATTAGATTTTGGAGAGCATATTTCTTTGTTTTGCCAAATCTTGCTTAACAATATTGATAAATAGTAAAAACATTAATGTATATGTTGAAATTTCTTTTAATATTAAATTGAAAGAAGGTGGGGAGTATTGAGAGACCTTGATGCCCATCCTGGGGGAGTTTGATGCTCTCGCTTATAGGAGCGAGAGGTGCTGGGGGACTTTGTTCTAACGGTGGCGGGCTTACGGTCTTCTGGTCCTCACAAGTTGCTTCAGTTCATCAGGAGGGTGGGTCTCGAGTATGTGTCGTAGGGCATGCCCCGCACCCGGATGGGGGCGCACAAGACATTCTTATATGTGGTCGCGGTGCACTGTTGTCCCCGTTGTACAAATCTACAAATCAAATCTACAAATTGATAGTTAAGGGGAGGTAAAAGAGCTGTGTTGAATCGTGTACAATAAAATATTTTCAATAGTATTGTACTATATTAACAAAGTATACATACAATTTTAAATACATAGATAGAGCTATACAATTTGAAATTAGAATTTTCAATGAAACTTTATTATATTCTGAATGAAATTTCTACTTCATAATACGTGAGTTAGTATGCGATTTCTACTAGTCATTTACTAATGTTTACTTAAGAAAAATGAAAATATGGAAATTTTAAATGTGAATCAAATTTTTTTTTCAAGTTTTTGACAACTTGACGAGATGAAGAAATTTTATTTTCCTTCTTTTCAAATTTATTTTTTTGTATTTCTTTTAATTTTTTTTCTATTCAAGTTTAAATTACCGCAAATTTTTTTTTTTTTGTTTTTTGCTTGAAAAATTTTTCAAATTTTGCAATAATAATTGAGGTTATGTTAAAGTTATTCAATTATGTACTTTGAATATTAAAAATACATACCTACATATTTGTACGTTTGTATATATTAATTTAACCATTTGCAGGTTTTAAAACACAAAAATTTGATTCTTGAAATTGATACGGTTCAAAAATTAACTAATTCAATTTTATTTTTAAATAATTTAAATTAGATAAGTTTAAAAATTATTATATTTGTTTACTTCGCATAGAAACACATTTATATACATATACAGTATATAAAGTTTTACGAAAAATCGAAAGTAATAAATTTTAAAGACAAGAAATCAAAACGCATTCTCATTTTTGGTTTTTGGGATAATTTTAATGGATAACATTGGTATTAAATAAAATTCGACTTGAGTGCGGGTCTTTTAAATGAATTGTAAAATTTATTTGGCTTTTTGTCAATAATAGATTTATTTTATTTATTTTGACGTTTGCAATATTGGTAGCATGTATATTTTAATTTGATAATTTGTTCAAAATGCACGTATGTATGTGTATACTAAATTTTAAATTTGTTGGGTCCAATGTATCAAGCCTTGGGCTCATTTTTATATTGAATATTGAATTTTTATTGGTCATGTATTTGCGTGCAGCACAATAATTGTATTGGAATGTTGTACAAGTAATCAAAAATTTTGCTTCTGTTTAATTTGAAAAAAATTAACTACAAATTTAGAATTAAAAATTTTTCTAAATTTTTTCTAATTCTCTATTGCTTTTCAAATTAATATGTTAATCATTTTTAATTTTGTTTCGAAATGTCATAGTATTTGAGAATATGAACATAAAAGCTTAATTTGAACATGAAAATTTTATGTATACGAAGAGATTTGAAGGAGTGATTTTTCTCGGTGTATATAGAATCTCATATAAAATTTTAAACGAGTATAAATTGTCTTCCGAAAAACTCTGAAAAACTTAAATATAAGGTTATTTGGGAAACCTAGTCCTTTTAAATTTATAAAACCCCTACTTTACGTAATTTAAATCTAGTATTTTTATCTATCCTATATTTTAAATAAAAAATTTCAAACGCCTTAATGTATGTTAAGAATTTTAATAAAATTTGCATTAAAAATTAAATTTCGAATTTCTGAATACTAAAGCTTTTGGACAATGTATTTATTATTGTGCATATACTTTATCTGTGTATACATATGGTGTTTAATTTTAGTGATCACAAAACGATATATTGACATTGGGCCTTTTCTAGAAAATATGTAAAAGTTATTTTAATAAAGTTGTGTAAAACAAAATTTTCAATACTATGTAGTTGAATAAGAAACTGACAATTTAATTACAAATTATAAATTTTGTACAGAAGTTATCGTAAGGGATTAGAGTTCTTAGCGCCATTGTAAATTTTTACTACAAGAATTTTTCCATGGATTGCCCTGTTCCTTCAATAAACTCCTCTATAATATTTTTTATTATTGCATTTGTCTTATTTCAAAATAAATTATTTTTACAGAAAAAAAAATTAATGTAATAAATCAAAATAAAATTATTTCATAAATTTATTTAAACTTTATTATTATTGCAATAATTTTAATTTCCTAGAATAAAGCATGACTTTATTACATACATTTTACGCTTTTTTTTTACGAAAAATTTTCAAGATGATGTAATATAAAAATTAAAGGAAATTAAATAATACTTTGACTTTGTTTTCGCTTCGTTTAATTTCTGTATTGTAGTTTTTTATAATTTTTTTGAATTGAAATGAAATTTTAATTAAAAATTAGATTTTTTTATATTTTTTTTTTAATATAATTGTAATAATCTAATTTTCATTTTATGGAACAAAATTTATTTTTAATAAAAATAAAATATTATTTAATAATTTATTCAATGGAAAATTTTGATATTTTTAATACAAATTTTATAATTAAACAAAAAATTTCGCATATAATATTCGCCTATGTGTATTCAACATATATGTATAAACATGTATATGCACTTTAATAGTTTTGGATTGTGGCAACAATGGATTTAAAATTGATTAATAAAAACAAGTAAAAACATTTCAGTCGGTATAAACCGATTGAATTATTCGCTACACCTTGCATTACTCGAGTATATAGCAATTACTCGAATCTTTGAAACATTTCGATAGAAACTTAACGGACATGTCTCATCTATAATTGAACACACAACTGCCAAGTTTCATGAATCTGCCCTTATTATTTTTTCAAATATTAAAATTGTATGGCAGCCACCCGTACCGGTGCAGCCATCCCATTAAAATTTTTAAAGCATATGTAGAATTTAATTGGACACACGTAAGCAAAATTTCATATTTATACCTTTATTAGTTTTTGAAATATTTAAAATAAACTCTTTCAGTTGCATTGCAGCTACCCGGGCCCGTTGTCCGAATTCGTCCGATTACAATAGGGTTCGCTCTTGGCACAAAAGAAACAACTTGTGAAAGTTCAACTTGTGACGGATGGATATGTGTAAATCAACGCAGAATTTTACGCTGAGCAAGAGTATATATAAGTGTCCGTATCGCAGATAACCCCGTCAAGTAGTTAGAAACTTCATACCAAAGTTAATATACCCTTCACAAAGGTATAAAAATAAACACCAGAATTTCTTTTAAATGCACTGTACACACAAATAATGATAACGGATTATTTTAATTATATACGGATTGATATGACTAAAAAGCATTGCCAAATTCAAAGAATAATTTTGTCAGAAATTTATTAATTATAAGAGTATTATTCGAAATTATAAGAAGTTTTAATTAATTTTATTGAATCATGAAATTTTTGCAATTTTTTATATTAAAATTTATAATTGATAATTTTAATGGCAAATATTTTAAAACAGTCTTATAGCTTTCAATGATAGCAAAAACAGATTTTAAATATTCTTACAATTTGGTTCATAAATAATAGTAAATATGAATAAAAAATATAAGGTATATTCGCTTTAAATTTTTTGTCTATATGTTTATCTGTAACAAATTAATATTTATTAGCTAAATAAGTCAAAATTTATTTTAAATCTGGCAATATTTGTTTAAATGTTTTATTTCGGTTTTAACTTTTCATGGAGTGAAGATCACAATATCGAAAACACATTTTAAAATTTTAAACAGAATTTTGTGATTTTTAATTCTTAAACCACCAATAGACGAAAGGAAGCCGTATTGTGATAAAAAATGTCATATTCTTATTGTTTAAGGTAATTTGAGTCACATTTATTGTGTAATTTGTTTTTAGTATTTAAAGTTTTTATAAAAGAATTTGATATAGAGGAAGGTTTATAAATATAAAAATTATGCGGATACTGCTTCATCTTATACGAGTATTTGACCATACGAACCTTTACAACGTGAAAAGAGAATTTTTACGCGCTTACGTTCAATTTAGGTATTTTTTAATTGCAATTACGTATGTTTGAGCATGACAAAAATTTCTAAAAAAACTTGCTTGCTATATTTTTCGTGTGATATTTTCGTTTTCGAAATTTTTTAATTCGATTTTATTACTTTTGCTCAAATATTTATGATTCCAGATTGAGTTAGGTATTTTAGGCATATAATGCAACTTAATTTTAAACAGTTTGCAATATATTTTAGTGACCTTTAAGTATTTGATTAATTTATTTCGATTTATTTCAATATTACGTAATATTAAAATTAATTTCTAAGTAAAAATTTGTAAAATAAATTTAAAAATTAAATACACTTGGAAATTAATTATTTAAATTAATCATGAATTTTATAACAAAATCTTTGATATTTTTTGCAATAATTTGCTTAACTAATTTTGGGAATTGTGAAGGTAAAAAAAAAATTAATTTAGCAAAAATTTAACAAAGTACGTTTTTCAATTAATTTCTTTAATCAATCGAGTAAAGTTTTTAAATAAATATTCTTTCAATAATTTTAAAATTTTTTATTAAAAAAATTTCCATGTGGTTTTTCCAGCTAACCATTTCTTTTTCTTATACAGTTAAAAATTTTGCATTGCAAGTATTCTAGTTAGAACTTTTGTTAGAAATTTCATGTCTTAAAATATTGGAACCATATTGGTTATGAATTTTGACTGTTTGATTTTCTAAAAATTATGAGAAGCTGTAAAAGCATATTTAAATTTCAAGCATAAAATTTTTCAAATTTTTGAGAATTTTCTAATTTAAGCGCTAACAAAACATTTATCTCTCATTAATATTTTTACTAATAATTATAATTCCGTGATTTTAAAGCCAAAAATTTTATTTAAATATGAAGCCATTAGGGTTTGTCGATATTCTACATTATCATAATTTCTGTACCTCTGACTGTTATGCTTTTAATTAATTATAATATTAATATTATTATTTTATTTAAAGAAATTTCAGATTTAGTTGATTTTTCATGTAAAACAACATCAGATTGTTCAGAATTTGCAAAAGCATTTCAAAATACAACTTGTATAAATCAAGAATGTAAATGTTATAATCAAAATTTTGAAGAAGTTCGTTGTGAACCTCCTCCAGTAAGTAAAATTACATACACTATTTCGCATTGAAATTTTTCTATAAATTTTTTTTTACAAAATTTGGCAATAAAATGTATAATAATTTGTTTTTTTATTATTTGAAAATAATTTAGGAATCATTTTACAATAATATCATAGGTGGTGGTTGCCCATGTACCCAACAGAATTCTGAATGTAATACTAAAACACAAATTTGTTATTGCGAGAAAGGATATCAGGCGACTCAAGACAAACGGCGTTGTATTAAAAGTAAGGAAAGACTCTTATTCCTATTCACATTGTTTGCATTTTGAAAAATATAAAATTTTTTTTGTAGAAAGTGTTCTACTCGGCGAAGCATGTGAGGATGATTCACAATGTATTTATCAGGAAAAGTTCTCTGAATGTAGTTTAAAAGAGAAGAAATGTATGTGCCAAAAAGATTTCATAGAATTTAATAAAGGCTGCATATCAGTTGTTAGTAAGTATTATTTATATTACTCCCTGCCACGCAGAAATATTGAATCAACATACAATTTTACAATTAGTATTGGAAACCAGAATTGTGTTATATTACAATGTTCCTGCAATTTCAATTTTAAAATTTAACCATTAAAATACTTTTATTGATTTATAATTTAAATATTAAATTTTCCGTATTTATAGATCTTGAAGAACACTGTGAAAGTAATGATCAATGTAATAAGAAAACAAATCATTCAATTTGTGCTTTGAAAAAATGTGCCTGCAATACAGATTATGTAGCAAATTTAGAGAAAACAAAATGTTTACCAGGTGTCGGACATGATGGTATTTGTTCTGAAGATAATCAATGTAAATTAGTATTGGGTGTTGGATCAATTTGTGATAGTGGATTATGTTCATGTGATATTAAACATAAATTATTAGAAACTAAATCGAAAACGGATGGTAAAGTACATTATACATGTGAAAAGGAAATTCGTAAGTTTATTAGAATAGTTTTATACTATAAGTATTATATTTTTTCCAAAAATTTTATTGTACCTGTAATAGGTTATGGAGATTATTGCTACGAACATACAGACTGTTATACTTTTAAAGATAATTCAGGTGAACAATCAATGGAATGCTTTCATGGAGAATGTGCTTGTCGACCAGATTTTACACTTAAAAATGGTACATTTTGTGTAGCAAGCGGTGGGTATTTCCTTGAATCATACATACAGTCAATCAGAATTATTGTCATTGTCATTAATTTTCTTCAATTAATTAGATAAATTTAATGCATCTATTTTTGTTTTAAGTTTTTGTTTTAATTATTTATTTTAATAATTATAATTTAAATCTCTTATATTTTTATTTTTAGGTGCACATACCATAGGAAATATTCAATTTGCTTCAATATTGATTGGAATTTCATGTTTATTAATATCAATTTTTTGGAAAGATTCCGCATAATTAATTGTTAACATCTTGTATGATGGATGAAGAGCTAGTAGCACAATTTAAAGGATAAACATTTATTTGAAAAATATATTATACATTTAATCTTTATTGAATTAATATTGAATTTAAATAAATATGTATATATATGTACATTTTGTACTCGTTTATGTAAATAATTTTTGTAATATAAAATTTTGTTAAAAAAAAAAAAGATTTTTTAACAATGAAAATTGTAAAATATTAATTTTCATTTTAATGAACCAAATGTTAACTTATTTTTACTATCTGAAATCTTGTAAACTTTGTAGAGCTGTTAAAAAATGGTTTGTTCTGAGAATGTTATAGAGGATGCCCTCTATAACAAGTTGCATAGTAAGGGGACATTGTGATGACGTGCCTTAAATTTTTTTTTGAAAGAGGAACATTGAGTGTTAATGGTTTAATGATTATCTGAATTATTTTCAAATTTCATTTAAAAGTTAATTGTAAATTAATGTTCCCCATATTATTCTAATGCACGTTTTTTTATCGATGGACAACTAGTTCTCATAATCATTCAATGTGATAATCCCTTGTCCCCTATTATAATTTGTGATGTATTGTGACACATTTAGCCAAAATATCCGAATAGAGAACTGAAACAATTTGACAAATAATTGACAAAGAAAATACCAATTCTAAAATATTATAAATTTTAAGGTATTTTAAAATTTATGCTTCCGAATGAGAATTTTTCCAATTTTAAGATTTCGAAAGCAATAATATTTAAGTGTAAGCACTATTGCATTTCTTAAATAAAATTTGTATTTACCGAAATTGATTCCTATTAAAAAAAATTTATTGTTGAAATATTTTATTAAAATTTATTTTATTAATTCCATTCAATCTTACGCATATCCTTGTAATTCTTGTTAATTATAATAGCATAACTGATTCTATGTCTATATTAATTGACATGAAAATATTTTCATTATTATCATTACTATTTGATCATATACATATATAATTGCAATGAAATTAAAATAATTTATATTAATTATTTTTATATTTATATTTTTATAATTAATTAGTTTTCACTTTTGAAAGTAAAAACTTTATTTTTTCATATTTAATTTTTTATATGCTTAGCAAACATGAGGCTATGGCATAAATTATAATTATTTAAATATATATATGCTATGCAATATGCAGTAACGTATGTATATAGCTATAACGGAATTTTACGGTTTTTAATTATTATAACATAAGTATATTGTATGTTCATTACTATTATTATTATTGTTATTACTATTATTATGGCTTAGTATAATAAATTATGAAAAACATAAAAAAAAAATTGAATTTATAAATACAAAACAAGTAAAAACGTTTCAGTCGGTATAAACCGATTGAATAATACCCTGCACCTTTCGTTATTGTGTAGCAATTACTCGAACCTGTGAAGTCATTCTATAGAAACTTCACGGATATGTCTGACCTATAATTGGACATCCGACTGCCAAGTTTCATGAATCTGACTTTATAATTTTTCCAAATATTTAAAATTAGCTTTTGGAGTTGTATGGCAAGTACCTGAACCTGTCAAACAATTCCATCAAAACTTCACAAATATATCTGATCTATAATCGGACACACAACTGCCAAGTATCATGAATCTGACTTTATTATTTTTCCAAATATTTAAAATATGCTTTTGGAGTTGTTTGGCAAGTCCCCGAACCTGTCAAGCAATTCCACTAAAACTTCACAAATATATATGATCTATAATCGGACACACAACTGCCAAGTTTCATGGATCTGACTTTATTATTTTTCCAAATATTAAGAATAAGCTTTAAGACTTGTATGGGAGCTACTCGAACCTGTCAAGCAATCCCATTAAAACTTTAGAAATATGTCTGACCTATAATTGGACACACAACTGCCAAGTTTCATCAATCTGACTTTATTATTTCTCCAAATATTTAAAATTAGCTTCTGGAGTTGTATGGCAGGTACCCGAACCTGTCAAGCAATTCCTCTAAAACTTCACAAATATATCTGATCTATAATCGGACATCCAACTGCCAAGTTTCATGAATCTGACTTTATTATTTTTCCAAATATTTAAAATTAGCTTCTGGAGTTGTATGGCAGGTACCCGAACCTGTAAAGCAATTCCTCTAAAACTTCAGAAGTATATTTGACCTATAATTGGACACATGACTGCCAAGTTTCATGAATCTGACTTTATTATTTTGCCGAATATAAAAAATTTGCTGTTGGAGTTGTATGGCAGCCACCCGAACCGGTGCAGCTATCCCATTATGATTTTTAGAGCATGTGTAGAATATAATTGGACACATGTGTACAAAGTTTTATATTTATAGCTTCATTAGTTTTTGAAATATTTAAAATAAACTCTTTGAGTTGTATGGCAGCTACCCGAACCCGTTGTCCGAATTAGTCCAATAACAATAGGGCTCGTCCTTGGCACAAAAGAAAAAACTTGTGAAAGTTTGGTGTCGATTGCATTATTCGTTTTTGAGTTATCGTGCGATCGGACGGACGGACGGACGGACGGACGGACGGACGGACGGACGGACGGACGGACGGACAGACGGACATGTCTAAATCGACGCAGAATTTTACGCTGAGCAAGAATATATATATATGTCCATACCGCAGATGACTCCTTCAAGTAGTTACAAACTCCATACCAAAGTTAATATACCCTTCACGAAGTGCAGGGTATAAAAAGCGAGTATATTTTGTACTTGTATGTTTAATAAAAATATTGGAAAATAATATAAATTAGAAAAAAAAAAAACTTATCATTAACAACAAGAGACCATTACAAATTATTGCTTTAAGACAATAGCCGTGAAACAAACATAACAATAAAATATAAGTGTACATATACTTATGTGTGCACTATGTGAAGGCTTATATTATGCATGTATTCTAAAAAAACGAAAAAAAAAGGAAAGTAATCAAAGTATTTAGGAAGAGAGAGAAAAACAAAAAGGAATCAATAATCATGACAGTAAATTCCAAAAAAAAAAATGAAAATATAAAATATTTAACTGCAAGCTATTTTTATTGATTACCGCGTGCACCTAATGGTAGTAGCATGTTGTCTGATTATGGATTTTTGTGTTTCTAGTAATTTTTTAGTATTTTTTTTTTTACTCGATTTATTTTTGACATTATTTATGAAGTCACGATTATTGTGAAGTCAATAAAATATAAAATAAGTAAGTAGTTTTTTATTTAATTTTTTAAAATTGAAAACCATAATAAGATTCTCATTGGTTATTTTGTTAAAATAAAATTTTTTTTTTGATAGCCATAACGAATTTATTGTATTTTGTTGTTTTTTTTTTTGTTTTATTATAATATTGATTTGTAATATTATTACAATTATAATTTTAAAATTTATAAAAAAAAAAATATTCTGTTTTTGTTGATATTTTTAAAGTATTTTTGTAATTTTGATTTGGTAACTCTTCAGTCATTAAATAATTATGGAATCGGAAGCATAAATTGTACAGGTATGTACATCGTACGTTTTATTTTAAATTTGAGACGATTGGTTAAGCATTCTATTGATTCCGCTTTTATATTCAGGTACAGGATTCTATTAAAGTTTGTTTTAGTCCACAGGTATTGGAATTTTATCAAATTACCCCTTTAAACTTTCATAACAAAGAGAGTCCCATTCCAGAGTATGTTGTTCAATTCAAAACATCTTATAGTAAAAATTTTGTATTCAATTATATTAATGTGAACTCTATTTGAATTGGTATTTTATTTTTAAAATTTAAGTATAGAGGGGATTTACTTTGTATACCTCAGCTGAGAATTTTATGAATTTTGTATAATATCGAGAATATGAATTAAATGGCCAGATTTCGAATGTATACGTTTAAAAATATTTACATACAATTATCGTAAGATTTCTAATATAAAATACAAGTAAATTCGATTATATGGCAATTAGAAACAAAAAATTAATTTATTGCATTGTATAACAGGAACTTCTTAAAGTCTATATTGAATTGAAAGTTTTTACATTTAATTATGCGAAGTTCATTAGTAAAATATTTAATGTATAATAATTTCGAAATTGATTGAAATGCTAACTGAATCAATTTAAATATTTTTTTTCAATTTTCACTTATAATAACAAAACAAGTGCATGAGTTGAATATAAAACCATAATCAATTAATTAATATGTATAGGGTATTAAAATTTATTTTCCGTTTTTCTAAGTAAACAATTTAATTTAAGTATTATAATAATTGTTTATATTGAATATTATATAAAATATTTTACTAAATTATAATTAAATGTGGACCTAATTTAATTATATAAGTAAATTTAATACCACAATTCTAGTATAGTACTTAGAATAAAAATGTTGTTTCACTGTTGAATTTTGCTGAAAGACCATTACAAAATACGGAAATTCATAAATAATAATTAGTTCAAATACTGGAAATTGAGTTAATTAATTTATAGTACACTATTTATTCAAAAAAATTCCTTCCAATATGGAGCTTCCCAATCAATTGTACACTTTACTAATTAAAACAGTAAAAAAAAAACATCAGTGATTAGACCAGCACAAATGTAAATATTAAACACTCGCCTCAAACTGGGATCGAACCTGCAACCTCTCGGTTACAGCATATTCCGATCTCAGTATACTGACCACTGATCTCCCGAGAGGGTAACAGTTTTAATGCACGCAGTTGATTATATTTTAAAATTAGCTGTATCTCGTGCTTAGTGAATCGAAAGTGAAAATTTCAAAAAAAATTTTTAAAAATTTAACTTCATTTTAGGAATGTGAGGAACTGGACCTTTATAGACCGATTTCACATATTCAAAAATAATAAACAGACACTACTTTCTTGTTTTATTGAAATTTGTAATTATTACTCTGAAAATTCAAAATGTGGCCGACTATGTACTGATTGTTACAGATTTTTTTTTAATAAAAATTTTATAGCGTCCATTCTCATTTAAAACTAGAAGAAAAAAATATAAGCGATTGCCAACTTAAAATGTTTCCATTTTCCATTTTTATTTTGCCTCAAACTAAAATCGGACCTGTACCCCCTCGGCTACAACACACTCCGATTCCAGTATCCTTACTACTGATCTCTCGAGGGGGCAGTA